AGAGAGAGAGAGAGAGAGAGAGAGAGAGAGAGAGAAAGGGAGGGAGGGAGGAAAGAAGGAAGGGAGAAAGGAAGAGAAAAAAGGAAAGCAAAACTAAAGAGAGGGCCCTAGTAGCACCACGCCACCTCCAGCGGTTACTAGAGGAGTCCTTGAGTCCACCTGTCCAGGGACTTCTCTGTAGGTAGGTCACCAATTCTGAAACAATGAGTCAAGTCTCCCATTTTTCAGGACGCCAGCTCTTAATTCTGTTCATCTGGTTTTTGTTTGTTTGTTTGTTTCCTTTCTTGTTACTCAGTCTTTACTGAGCATCCGTGGCTCCCTGTTCTCTCCAAGACGCAACAGTAGGGCGAGCCTTTTCAGCTTCAGAGGTCGAGCCAAGGACATTGGCTCCGAGAATGACTTTGCTGATGACGAGCACAGCACCTTTGAAGACAACGACAGCCGAAGAGACTCCCTGTTTGTACCGCACAGACACGGGGAGCGGCGCCACAGCAACGTGAGCCAGGCGAGCCGCGCGTCCAGAGTGCTGCCGATTCTGCCCATGAACGGGAAGATGCACAGCGCGGTGGACTGCAACGGAGTGGTCTCCCTGGTCGGCGGCCCTTCAGCCCTCATGTCTCCCACCGGGCAGCTCCTGCCAGAGGTGAGGCCAGTGCAAACCGCAGCTGTTGGGAAGGGAGCTGAGGCTGGTGCAGGCCGGACGAGGGTTTTCGGTTTCTTTCCTGAGAATTTTGGTGTCTTGTTCACAGGCCGGGGTTCAATCAAGCCATAAACTTCTTTTGCCAGATTGTGCTATTCAGACTTTTCTACAAATTAATTCCAAATATAGTTTGGATATCATAAAATATAATTAGAAGTATCCCTTCATCTTTATTACTACAGTATGAAACTTGCCAAAGAACACAGCAGCAATTGATCAAACATATGCAAGTTAAGTGCAAGAAATGATACCAGGACTCATTTTAAGGATCTTATCATCTTGCCTTTAAAAGGGAAATTTGACACTTCCACTTGAAGTAGACAATTTTATTACTAAATATATAGAAATTCTGTAGTGCAGCATTTTTTTTTTAAGATTTTTATTGGGGAGTTGGGGAAGGGGAACAGTGCTGGGGAATTGGAGAAGGGGAACAGCCAAGTTGTTGTCCTTCAATCTTAGTTGTGGAGGGTGCAGCTAGCTCAGCTTCAAGTCCAGTCGCCCTCTGGCCTGCCGTCAGCAGCTAGTGGTTGCTCAGCTTGGGCACAGCTCACTGGCCCATGTGGGAATCCAGCCGGCAACCCTGTTGCTCAGAGCTCATGCTGTTAACCAGCTGAGTCACTCTGCTGGCCCCCACAGCATTCTTTCTCTTTGCAGGTCAGAGTGCTATAACATTTTTAACATCCACTCAAATGACCCCAGCCACTGTACATTTGTGTGGTTTAGAAGTCACTCAGAGTACCCGGTAAAGTTGTGTTGTAATTTTTAGAGAAGATTTCAATTTTTATATTCATGACATGAATTCTTTTTGTAAACAAAGTGACCTTAAATCAAGCCTAAGGAAAAGGGTTTCAACTAAATACCAGACACTTAGAAGAATATATTATTGCCATCTCTTCTGGAAAACATAAGTTGCTTTTTAACTTTGGTATTAAATAAGATTTCATTTGCCAATATAAAAATACTCTAACAATGCTATTTGGTTGTATTTTATGGGTTGATGGATCATGTAAAATCTTATTTGTACTTTTTTTTTTACACAATTCTATTTATTATAGTTGGACAAGTTCTTTAAGCCACATTAAAATTGTATGGAGTCAGCTTTCAGTCACCTAATAGAAGAGCTTCTTACGTTGGATTATAGAAATAGCCCTTGATCGTCACTTTTTTCTCATGGCCTCTCCTCACTGCTTTCTCCCAGAGAAATGTCCAAGTATCCTGGAGTCAAATCAAGTCGTGAAAAAAGTGGAATTTTGTAGTGAAGGAAAAATGCAGAGGGAATGTCAACTTCACTTTCAAAATAATCATAGATAATAACTATGTACCAGACACTATCCAGAACACTTAACATGTGCTAATTCATTTAATCCTCACAACAACCCTTTATCATAGTTACTAATATTATCCCCATTTTGCAGAGGAGGAAACTGAAGCCTGTGCATGCATGGTGGAGCTGAGATATGACCCCAGGGGTGCTGGCTACTGAACTTACTTTTTATCCATATTTCAATATTGCCTCCTATTGAATTTTTTTTAACTTTCTTAAATGGAAAAGAAGAGATGGCTAAGGAAATAAACACGTTCATTTTCAACCCAGTGTTTCTCAAAATACTTCCATCAGACTACTTACACCAGAATCTCCTGAGATGCTTCTTAAAACTGGAGATTCTTCGTTTCCCCCTTCCTCCATCCCTGGCAACCACCATTCTACTCTCTGTTTCTATAAGTCTCATAGTCAAAGAGTACGAAATTTCAGTGATGCAAGATAAATAAGTTCTGGATATCTACAATATATAACATGGTGCCTAGAGTTAACATTATTATATTGGATACTTAAATTTACTAAAAGGGAAGAGCTTATGTTAAGCATTCTTACTACAAATAACAGCAACAATAATAAAAAAGGAAGTAGGAGGAAACTTTGGAAGGTGATTGAGAATGTTTATGACCATGATGGTGGTGATAGCTCAGGTTGTATACTTATCCCCAAACTCATTGCATTGTAGATGCTATATATGTACAGCTTTTTACATGTCAGTCATTCCTCAATCAAGTTGTTTAAAGAAAAACAAAAACAAAAAAACAGAGGTTTCTGGTTCAAGCAAGACTTACCCAGACCAAAACACTGAGAACAAATTCAAGGAACCATCTTCCTTAACAGTCATCCCACATAGTTCTTACACATATGAAGTATGAGCATCACTGACCTTGATAAATGTTAATTGAGCAAACAAAAACAAATGCACAATGTCATTGCATGAATACACAGAGAATGTCAGTCTGTCAGAAAATATTTAGTATTTATCAGTAACTACCATAAAACTCCTGTCTTATCAGGAGTTTTATTTAGAATTTATCTGTAACTACCATAAAACTCCTGTCTTATCAGACAGGATGGAATAAATCTCCAAAGGCAAATTAAGGCCAGTTTGAAGCAAAACCTAGTGTGGCCCCTCTATTTCCAGTTCCCTCGCATCCATTCTTCCATTGTGTAGTCAGGCGCTGTGAGACAGGGCACGACACTGCGTGCAGACAGATGGAGGCGGCTCTGAGGGACTACGGAGGGGAGATGAGAATAGAAAATAGACAGTGACCGGCAAGTGACACCCTCCAAAGTACACTGTGTCTTGTACTTGACACGTAAATTCAATTGAAGCAATTTAACTTAAAGAATTCCCTCAGTAATGTCATTAGAGGTTTAGGAATACATCATTAAAATTAGACATCTAGGATTATTGCACATATACTTCTGTATAGAGCCGAAAGGACTAAATGACCTTTAAGTGGCCCATTTTTTTTCTTAAAAAACTTTGCTTCTCTCTGACCAGGCAAAATATTTTTAATTGAGAGACAACCTTTTGATTTAAAAGAGCTTTAGTTTCAGAGAGGGGTTATTCCTTTTCTCATTAATTTCACTTTTACCATAAAATTAACTGTAGAGTGACCTATATGGATGTTTATCACCATTAATTACAATCATATCAATTGAGTGGAAACTTTGCTTTTGAATATATACTCATTAGACATATGCAGGTTAATAAAAATAATGTTACTCATTTCACAATAAGGTCAGCAGATGAACAGGACTCATATTGCTATTTTAAAAACGGGGAAAAGCCTCGACAACTGTAAGTAGCTTCTTATTTATTATTAGCACTCAGACCTGCATTGGAAATGCTTGAATTTTGCCTTTGTTTTCCTGTGATAATTAACTTCACTGTTTGCTCTCCTAAAGAAAGAATACATTTCTGTCCCATATTGAAATTCTGGTGAGCTTATTTTAGAATAGCAAATATCAAACCACCATATCATTATCAAAAATCAAAGACCCCCAAATTGGTGTTATCACCTTAAATAGAGTGTCAGTGTTAAGGGTGGGTTGTTTTGTGGGTGGAGTTGTTTTCTACGTATAAGACAAAATTATAGATTAGTTCTAATATTTTACTTTATTAATGATATTGGGAAATTTTACCTGTGTATAATGAATGAAAGCATTTTATAGTGGAATTCACATTTAAAGGGAAC